TATATATATATATTCAAGAGGGTGCATACAATGCCTCACAAACCGCGTGTATCTCAGTGACTATTAAAAGTATCAGGTTTTGACAGGGTTTACAATGGAAAATTTGTAATCTGGTTGTATTTTAGCCCGACTTCGGGTGCTATGGCGGTTACGACAGTACGCGATTCGGGTGATATGGCGGTTACGACGGTACGCGATTCGGGCGATGACATATCAGATTTTTCTCCTGCGTGTATTTCCCTGTGACGCTGTAGACCGTTACTGAACATAAACGTGGCACCACAAACTTCACACTTGTAAGGTTTTTCTCCTGTATGCGTTCTTGTGTGGCTTTGTAGACCACCTTTGAATGTAAACGTGGCACCACAAACTTCACACTTGTAAGGTTTTTCTCCTGTGTGTGTTCTTTTGTGACCCAGTAGATTGCTACTCGTTGAAAACGCGGCACCACAATCTTCACACTTGTAAGGTCTTTCTCCTGTGTGTGTTCTTTTGTGACCCAGTAGATTGCTCCTCGTTGAAAACGTGGCACCACAATCTTCACACTTGTACGGTTTTTCTCCTGTGTGTGTTCTTTTGTGAATTTGTAGACTGCTACCATGTGTAAACGTGGCACCACAATCTTCACACTTGTAAGGTTTTTCTCCTGTGTGTGTTCTTTTGTGACTTTGTAGATTGCTACCCTGTGTAAACGTGGCACCACAATCTTCACACTTGTAAGGTTTTTCTCCTGTGTGTATTCTTTTGTGTTTCCGTAGACTGCTATTGCATGTAAAGGTGGCACCACAAACTTCACACTTGTAAGGTTTTTCTCCTGTATGTGTTCTTTTGTGACTCTGTAGACTGCTTCCTCTTGTAAACGCGGCACCACAAACTTCACACTTGTAAGGCTTTTCTCCTGTATGCGTTCTTATGTGGCTAAGTAGACCGCTATTGAATGTAAACGTGGCACCACAAACTTCACACTTGTAAGGTTTTTCTCCAGTGTGTATTCTTTTGTGACTTTCTAGATTGCCACCCCGTGTAAACGTGGCACCACAAACTTCACACGTGTGACGTTTTTTTCGTGTGTGTATTCTTTTGTGTTTCTGTAGACTACTGCTACAAGTAAATGTGACACCACAAACTTCACACTTGCAAGGTCTATCTATTGTGTATGTTCTTTTGTGCCTCTGTAGGTCACCTAGTTCTGTAAACATCTCAAGATAGACAATACACTTGTGAGGTTGTTCTCCTGAGTATCTGCTTTCCCTGACCAGAGACCTTGGAACATCTTGGCAACCAGCGCCCATCTCTTTATACACTTTTGGGGGTGTGGTACTAGAAGCTTCCGTAGAATTTATACAACTGGCAAAAGACACAGCACAAGAAAGGTTGAAATCTGGACCTTGTCCCATGGACTGTTTACTATCACAAGACATACGACTTTTGACGTAGGACTCATGCTTTGAACTTCCGTTAAGATGTTTTCCTGGGAAAGACAAATAAAGGACAAGTTATCTAACCCTGACGTTAAGATGAAACATCTGGAAGAAGACAAATAATGAACAAGATATGTAACCCTGACGTTAAGATGAAACATCTGGAAGAAGACAAATAATGAACAAGATATGTAACCCTGACAGTAGGATGAAACATCTGGAAGTAGACAAATAATGAACAAGATATGTAACCCTGACGTTAAGATGAAACATCTGGAAGTAGACAAATAATGAACAAGATATGTAACCCTGACAGTAGGATGAAACATCTGGCAGAGTAGAAGACAACAATGGACAAGTCAACACTGATGGTAAGATGAAACATCTGGAAGAAGACAAAAATGATGTGTTATCTTATGCTAATGGTAGAATGAAACATCTGGAAGAAGACAAAAATGATGTGTTATCTTATTAAATGCTAATGGTAGAATGAAACATCTGGAAGAAGACAAAAATGATGTGTTTTCTAACCCTAATGGCAGGATGAAACAACTAGAAGAAGTAAAAAATACACAACAAGCTATCCACCCAAGTCTCTAACAATAATACAATATTTATAATGAATCTAATCACAGAAAAGGGATGATCAAGATGAGATGTGGCTGTTATCCTACACACTGAAAAAACTGTAAGTCTAAAAGTTACTCTGACTGTCTACACATTCAATTTCATCCCACGTGCTTTTCGTCCCTTTTCTCAAACACCATGTCATTTTTTTACATTTCAAGAGAAGGAACACACAACAACCACAGGAACACTGGGTTATTTTCTGTAATCGTAAACATTGGAGACCTGTGAGTTCTTTCGACCGACACAAAAGGAACGACAAAAATGTGGTCAGCGCTTCTGTGTTGTACTACAAATTTTAAAAGACATGATAACACACATCAGGGCCGGCTCGTGGGTCTAAAAATTGGACGTGCACAATTAAGCTATCACAGGCTGAAGATAGTCAAGGGTATAGTAAATGAGGCAGTGTATAATTTTAGGATCTTTGGGCTGGTGAGGGAGGACCTCATGCTTTTATTTTCATTCTTTTTACTTGTCGCTTTGATTTCTAGAGTAATAAATTTGTTTGTTAGCTAAACATCAATTTCGTTCATTCTGTATTGGAACTGAACACTCAAGTGATAACTTTTACAACTCCACTACAAAACTATTCAAAGGCACAACTCATAGGACGGTCACGTTCCCCCCCCCCCCCTCAGATTCACGGTCACAGAGTCACTTAAAATAGTGTCAAGACAGACAATGAACCAATCACAATTCACTTGAGCACTCAACTGGATTGCTCCGGGGCTCACAAAATAATTGGCAAAGAATAGTGTACCATCTATCGCGTTCATTTTTAGACTGCCTTCTGTGAGCTATGTTTCGGTACTGTTCGGCAGGAGCACATTTGAGATGTGCCGTTTTATTTATAATTATTGTATCGCCAAACTCGCTACGAGTGTCGTCATCTCTTGGGTTATCCCCAAGAGCGATTTATAGGTCAGGTTACACTGTTAAATTATATCCTTCTATTATGTTTAGCTAAAGCGCGTGGACTTTGGCATGGCATAGTAGATGTTTTACGGCGCTATAGACACAGAAATGGCAGTTATGGCGCCAGTGAAGACCTTGTTTTGATATAATATTTGGCTAGTGTTTGTTTCTCTGGCTTCTTTTATTTTATTACTTTGGGTGTCTTACATAATAGAACATTAAAAACTTTTGGGCGGCACTGCACGACCTTGCTCTATGGACGAACTGCGCCGGACACACATGTAGCAAAAATGCATTTTGAAACTTGTTATTTGGCCTCTATTTAATTGCACACATCTAGCTCTCCATGCCAAGCTGAAGCTACCAGTAGCTGTACCTCAGTACCGTAAAAAAAACCGACAGCAGCAAACAGTTTGCTTCTTTCCAATCCACGATTATATAATATCTGGAGAAACTTCAAAAGAATTGTGCCATCTCAGGCTGGCAGCAAAATATCTGATGATCTAATGACAAGGCTCTATAGTATTGTCAGGACTAACGATGCTGAGCGAAAGGTCTTGCTTTTGTTTGTCTGAGTACAGAAAAGGACATCGACACAATAATAAAAATGGTCATTTAGTGCTCAAGAATGCAAAACACACCGTATAAGTCCACACACAGAAGGATTCTACGTACCAGAACTTTCACCGTGATCCCAGCTGGTCCTGACAACAGATCCTGAACTTGTGACTGGATCGGCAGAGAAAGTTGAAGTTGGACTACTGGAAGCAACAACATCAGTGTCGGGGCTGGCACTCTGCTCCATACACAAGCTCCTCACATTGGAGATTTGCAGCTGTAGTCCTCCAGCCTGACTCATGTGATCCTCAACAAACACGGGCTCAGTACACGTATCCTCCACATCTCCCACTTGTCCTTCTGTCTTTCCTACCTCTCCAAAGTCTGGACCTTCCCATTCTGACACTTCTTCGTTCACAAAATTCTCCACTTTTGATTTCACTTCATCACCAAAGTCAGGAAAATGTCCAAATAGTGGTTCGGTTTTCACCGTACAGATATCTGTGAGGCACTCTGGTTTAATGACAGGTTTCACGTCTTCCTCCTCTGTACAGATAGGCTCATCTTTTACTACACTGTGTCTGAGAGTCTGGCTACTTTCACTTTCAACGTTCAGTTTGTCATTTGTCTCGGCCTTGGCGTCACACAGACATTCAAAACTGGGCTCTTCTTTTACTGACAGATGTTCCTCATCAACACCCACAGATTCACTTTCCCTACTTATAATGTCATGTTTTACATCTTCCCTTAAATTTAAACTGTTAGTACAAAGAGTACTCGTACTAGAAGATCTAGGTCTAGATCTAGATATATGTTCACCTTTAACAACTATGCTATCAATCCCAAGATTCACACCTTCTCCAGAAGAACAAGGAACAAATAAATCACAAGTTTTCACACATCCAGAGCCATTATCATTTCCAGAGTTAAGTCTATACATTGTTATTGTTGTGTCTTCCTCACAGTTGGCGTCCATTTGTTTACTTGTATAGGAAATGTCAGCCATCTTTACAGTCACAAAATGTCAATGACGACAATGAATCAATGAAGACACTAGACCCTAACATGTACACACAATTACTTCGATAAACGAATAAACAGTGTCATGAAGAGGAACAGTCAAACTGTTCCATGTTCCAAATTTGATTAGAGACTGCACATTTTGTTCAGGCATAGACAGGCAGGCTATAATACATTGAAAAAAAACGTAGCGTATTTATTTATATCATATTGCGTCCATTTTCTTTTTACGATCAAACAGGTATAAAGAGCATTAAAGCAGTTTTAACAGTATAGTAGGCCTATGTAGGCCTACCAGAGACACTAAAATATAATTAAATACTCTCTGGGCCTACCAGCTGTTAACAGTTGTATTCGATTAAATTATTATTAATGCTTATTATCATTATTATTATTATCATCGTTTTTATTATTATTTTAATATT